GGGGGATCTTCCTAGTGTCACCCAAATTATGCCATATAGATGACCACCTAACCCATCAAAGAATAATGTAGGCTGTACCACTTAGGGCCTTGGGCAGGGGTATGGCCCTACATTGTGGAGAATTATCAGGGAGGCTGATGTGTAAATTAAGGTGGGGAGAGAGGGGTGAGGTTGGGTTGAGGTGTGTGTGGGAATAGGTGGTTATGAGAAAATGAGGTCAGGTTAAGCTAAAGTTACAGTTGAGAAGGAAGTGTTGATGCTCTCAAGTGTATGCACATCATGACGTGGTGATATCATGAAATGGTTTTTCACCTCATCAGCTCCCAAGATTGAGGTGTTAGGGATAAGAAGACAAATTGTCCCCAAACTGCTTCTCTAATATTCTGTGCCAAACTTGTAGACAAACAGAGCCATCTCCCCTTCCTTCTCAACTGTAACTTTAGCTTAACCTGACCTCATTTTCTCATAACCACCTATTCCCACACACACCTCAACCCAACCTCACCCCTCTCTCCCCACCTTAATTTACACATCAGCCTCCCTGATAATTCTCCACAATGTAGGGCCATACCCCTGCCCAAGGCCCTAAGTGGTACAGCCTACATTATTCTTTGATGGGTTAGGTGGTCATCTATATGGCATAATTTGGGTGACACTAGGAAGATCCCCCACCCCCAAATATCTTCTCTACTGGACTGCACAATGCCTGAAATAACAGTCAAAGTAAATATTCATCTTGATTATCTTGTTATTTTTCCTTCAGGTTAAATATTACCTTCTTTGGGGAGGGGGGGAGGGTACTCTCTTACTGTGCAAACTCCCCGGGAGGGACAAACTAAAATATAAACTCCAAATATGGTAATAATAATAATTCATATTTCTATAGCATTTTAAAGTTTACACTGAACTTTCTTCATTGTAACTCTGTAAGAAGGGTACTATCACCATTTTGCAGATGATGAAACAGTCTCAGAGAAGTTAGATGACTTGCCTAAGGTGGTAAGTGTATTAAGCTAGTAAGTGTCTTGCACAGTGCCTATTACACATACAAGACACCATGCTGGACTGTGGCATGTGAAGCCTCTGATCTTATAATGAAAATGAGTGTATGAGATGCTCCCCACCCTGCCCCACTCCTATACCTCAATAATCTACACTAACAGCTTGAGAGCACTCAGTCCCTAGGGGGTAAAAGAAAAGAAGCGCTGAAAAAGTAGGGGAAGAAAATCACAGGGTAGGAAGCAATCACCAAAGACAGACAGGCCCTGGACCCAGAGTTTCTCAAAGATCAGGGGCAGACTGAGCAGTTCCTACCCCCTTCCCTACTTCCTCGGGCCTCTGTTTCCTTTCAAACTGGCCTGTTGGTATCATTTACTTTCCCTGGGAAGAAGCAGAACTCAGGACTGGGGAGATTTGGAACATCCCCTTGGACTCTGCCACACTGGGCACAGTGAGATGAGGGCTGGTTCCAAGATCATCTGGCATCTAGGAAATGCTTTCCCTACCCTCAGGGCAGGGGGTTTTCAGGGGGTAGCCTGGAATGGAATGAAATATTTCCTTTTAGCCCAAAAGATTACTTTCACATTCTAAACCCACCGTCCCCACAAAACCCATATAAAGATCCTAGTGGCTATTGACCACTTCCTGCTTGTGTGCACTTGCCTCCTACCTGCAAAATAATATTGATAATACAAATCTACATTGATATAGTACTTTTGTGTGTAACAACCGCAGAGAAAGTTGTAAACATGCAACTATTATTTCCTTCATTTTATAAATGGCTCAAGGAGGGCGAATGAGCTTCAGAGTTGTGAACTTTGCTGTATAAATATTATTATTTAGGGAGACAAGATCCCTGGTGGACCTAGCCCAGCCTTCTCAGGGATGGGGGATAATGGTAGGCATCTGAAGGTCAAATGGCATCTTATCCTTCTAACACCTTAGAAACAACATAGCTAGAAGCTAAAAGCTAATATAGTTAGGGCACACATTGGAGTTAAGTGGTGTGTGTGTGTGTGTGCTTGCATGTATGTGCAGTAGGATTCAGAAGCTGGGCTACCTCTAGGGGCTACCTTTTCTTGTTCCCCAATATCACTGTAGTACTTCCCCTATTCCTGCTGTCTGTCTTCCTTTTCTCCCCCAGATCTTCACCAGAATGGGCCAGTGTTTCATCTTTAATTCAGGAATTGATGGAGCTGAGCTCCTCAGTACTCCTAAAGGAGGTGCTGGCAATGGACTGGAGATCATGTTGACAGTGCAGCAGGATGAATACCTGCCAGTGTGGAGGGACTCAGGTATGTGACACAGCAGCCAAGAGAGATGGGGGATAGGTATGGAAGCTCTGAGAGAGAAGGACTGGGAGACTGGGAGGGGATGGATACAGTGGGTGAGAAATAGGGATGATGCATCAGTAATGGGGAAGGAGAACAGGTATGAAAGTATGGGACAGAACACAGTAACAGGGAAGAAAAAAGAATGAAGGACTGAGGCTAGGGGAAAAGGTTAAGGAGCTGGGAAAGGGCTAGGTATGGGTTATCAGACTCGTTCCTAGCCTGTGAGACTGAAATTAGAGGGGTCAAGCATGCCAATCTCCCATTTCATCCTTGATGACCCTGTCAAAGTCAGAATCTTCATCTGATGGGAAGCTGAGAGTATGAAGGAGAGAGAAAGGGAATCAATTGAATCTTGGGTTGGAAGATGAGGCTAGTGTGAAGCTGACCTTGATTGGCAGTTCTTATACCATGTTTTCATAAAAATGATGGGGAAACAAGTGAAGGAGACAGGACTCTAGTAAAAGTCGCTACCTGTTGGATAGGGAGTTGGGGGGGAGGGGGCCCATAGTATAGCCTGGGGACTAGGGCAAGGGCTTTCCCTCTCCTTAGATGAGATAGTCACTCAAAACAGAAGTGTCCTTAGGAGGAATCCAAAGGATTCCCAATGGGGACAAAGTATCAGTGGGAAAATGAGCTTCTACTCCCCCCATCCTCTCCCTATTCCAGAACAAACTCCATATGAGGCAGGGATTCGAGTGCAGATTCATAGTCAAGATGAGCCGCCCATCATTGACCAGCTTGGCTTTGGGGTTGCTCCAGGCTACCAGACCTTTGTGTCCTGTCAAAAGCAGCAAGTATCCTCTGCCCTGGTTCCAATACCCTGACCTCAATACCCTGCCTCCTCCTGTCCAAAGCCTTCAATCTCTAGCACCTCAGAACCACCCCTCCAAATTTCCCAGTTCTCAATTTTTCTGACTCTTGAAATCTTCTCCAACCTTCTGACTCTACATTAATTCCTCGTCACTTCCCTGTTCTGTCCCCATCCAGATACTCCAGAGATGGCCTAACCAGCCTAACCATCTCTCCAGGACAGAGGGCATTTTGCCTCTTTTGTGTGTGTGTGTGTCTCTCTGTCTCTGTCTCTGTCTCTGTCTCTGTCACTCTCTCTCTCACACACACACACACACACACAACCCTCTAGTTCCATCTCTTTCCCACCTCCTCCTTAACGCCTTTTCTGCTACAGCTGTTGTTCCTGCCACAGCCCTGGGGTAACTGTAGCTCTGTGCTCCCGAGTCCTGACTTCGACATGGGTCCTCCTGATCTAAGCCCATCCAGTCCCAGCCCAGGCCCTAGGTCAGTCTACAGCCTCTCAGGCTGTCGCCAGGTCTGTGAGACTCGATTCTTGTCTCGGAAGTGTGGCTGCCGGATGATGTACATGCCTGGTAAGGGGTCATGATAAGAGTTGGGAGGGCCGGAAGTCAGAGACAGGATGGGGCTTAGATCAGGAGGACCCATGTCGAAGTCAGGACTCGGGAGCACAGAGCTACAGTTACCCCAGGGCTGTGGCAGGAACAACAGCTGTAGCAGAAAAGGCGTTAAGGAGGAGGTGGGAAAGAGATGGAACTAGAGGGTTGTGTGTGTGTGTGTGTGTGTGTGAGAGAGAGAGTGACAGAGACAGAGACAGAGACAGAGACAGAGAGACACACACACACACAAAAGAGGCAAAATGCCCTCTGTCCTGGAGAGATGGTTAGGCTGGTTAGGCCATCTCTGGAGTATCTGGATGGGGACAGAACAGGGAAGTGACGAGGAATTAATGTAGAGTCAGAAGGTTGGAGAAGATTTCAAGAGTCAGAAAAATTGAGAACTGGGAAATTTGGAGGGGTGGTTCTGAGGTGCTAGAGATTGAAGGCTTTGGACAGGAGGAGGCAGGGTATTGAGGTCAGGGTATTGGAACCAGGGCAGAGGATACTTGCTGCTTTTGACAGGACACAAAGGTCTGGTAGCCTGGAGCAACCCCAAAGCCAAGCTGGTCAATGATGGGCGGCTCATCTTGACTATGAATCTGCACTCGAATCCCTGCCTCATATGGAGTTTGTTCTGGAATAGGGAGAGGATGGGGGGAGTAGAAGCTCATTTTCCCACTGATACTTTGTCCCCATTGGGAATCCTTTGGATTCCTCCTAAGGACACTTCTGTTTTGAGTGACTATCTCATCTAAGGAGAGGGAAAGCCCTTGCCCTAGTCCCCAGGCTATACTATGGGCCCCCTCCCCCCCAACTCCCTATCCAACAGGTAGCGACTTTTACTAGAGTCCTGTCTCCTTCACTTGTTTCCCCATCATTTTTATGAAAACATGGTATAAGAACTGCCAATCAAGGTCAGCTTCACACTAGCCTCATCTTCCAACCCAAGATTCAATTGATTCCCTTTCTCTCTCCTTCATACTCTCAGCTTCCCATCAGATGAAGATTCTGACTTTGACAGGGTCATCAAGGATGAAATGGGAGATTGGCATGCTTGACCCCTCTAATTTCAGTCTCACAGGCTAGGAACGAGTCTGATAACCCATACCTAGCCCTTTCCCAGCTCCTTAACCTTTTCCCCTAGCCTCAGTCCTTCATTCTTTTTTCTTCCCTGTTACTGTGTTCTGTCCCATACTTTCATACCTGTTCTCCTTCCCCATTACTGATGCATCATCCCTATTTCTCACCCACTGTATCCATCCCCTCCCAGTCTCCCAGTCCTTCTCTCTCAGAGCTTCCATACCTATCCCCCATCTCTCTTGGCTGCTGTGTCACATACCTGAGTCCCTCCACACTGGCAGGTATTCATCCTGCTGCACTGTCAACATGATCTCCAGTCCATTGCCAGCACCTCCTTTAGGAGTACTGAGGAGCTCAGCTCCATCAATTCCTGAATTAAAGATGAAACACTGGCCCATTCTGGTGAAGATCTGGGGGAGAAAAGGAAGACAGACAGCAGGAATAGGGGAAGTACTACAGTGATATTGGGGAACAAGAAAAGGTAGCCCCTAGAGGTAGCCCAGCTTCTGAATCCTACTGCACATACATGCAAGCACACACACACACACACCACTTAACTCCAATGTGTGCCCTAACTATATTAGCTTTTAGCTTCTAGCTATGTTGTTTCTAAGGTGTTAGAAGGATAAGATGCCATTTGACCTTCAGATGCCTACCATTATCCCCCATCCCTGAGAAGGCTGGGCTAGGTCCACCAGGGATCTTGTCTCCCTAAATAATAATATTTATACAGCAAAGTTCACAACTCTGAAGCTCATTCGCCCTCCTTGAGCCATTTATAAAATGAAGGAAATAATAGTTGCATGTTTACAACTTTCTCTGCGGTTGTTACACACAAAAGTACTATATCAATGTAGATTTGTATTATCAATATTATTTTGCAGGTAGGAGGCAAGTGCACACAAGCAGGAAGTGGTCAATAGCCACTAGGATCTTTATATGGGTTTTGTGGGGACGGTGGGTTTAGAATGTGAAAGTAATCTTTTGGGCTAAAAGGAAATATTTCATTCCATTCCAGGCTACCCCCTGAAAACCCCCTGCCCTGAGGGTAGGGAAAGCATTTCCTAGATGCCAGATGCTCTTGGAACCAGCCCTCATCTCACTGTGCCCAGTGTGGCAGAGTCCAAGGGGATGTTCCAAATCTCCCCAGTCCTGAGTTCTGCTTCTTCCCAGGGAAAGTAAATGATACCAACAGGCCAGTTTGAAAGGAAACAGAGGCCCGAGGAAGTAGGGAAGGGGGTAGGAACTGCTCAGTCTGCCCCTGATCTTTGAGAAACTCTGGGTCCAGGGCCTGTCTGTCTTTGGTGATTGCTTCCTACCCTGTGATTTTCTTCCCCTACTTTTTCAGCGCTTCTTTTCTTTTACCCCCTAGGGACTGAGTGCTCTCAAGCTGTTAGTGTAGATTATTGAGGTATAGGAGTGGGGCAGGGTGGGGAGCATCTCATACACTCATTTTCATTATAAGATCAGAGGCTTCACATGCCACAGTCCAGCATGGTGTCTTGTATGTGTAATAGGCACTGTGCAAGACACTTACTAGCTTAATACACTTACCACCTTAGGCAAGTCATCTAACTTCTCTGAGACTGTTTCATCATCTGCAAAATGGTGATAGTACCCTTCTTACAGAGTTACAATGAAGAAAGTTCAGTGTAAACTTTAAAATGCTATAGAAATATGAATTATTATTATTACCATATTTGGAGTTTATATTTTAGTTTGTCCCTCCCGGGGAGTTTGCACAGTAAGAGAGTACCCTCCCCCCCTCCCCAAAGAAGGTAATATTTAACCTGAAGGAAAAATAACAAGATAATCAAGATGAATATTTACTTTGACTGTTATTTCAGGCATTGTGCAGTCCAGTAGAGAAGATATTTGGGGGTGGGGGATCTTCCTAGTGTCACCCAAATTATGCCATATAGATGACCACCTAACCCATCAAAGAATAATGTAGGCTGTACCACTTAGGGCCTTGGGCAGGGGTATGGCCCTACATTGTGGAGAATTATCAGGGAGGCTGATGTGTAAATTAAGGTGGGGAGAGAGGGGTGAGGTTGGGTTGAGGTGTGTGTGGGAATAGGTGGTTATGAGAAAATGAGGTCAGGTTAAGCTAAAGTTACAGTTGAGAAGGAAG